GGCCTGCCATGGCGGGCAACGCTGGAGGCGAAGGAGAAACATTGGATGCAGTATTGACAGGCGTGCTCGAGGGGATGGGAGGACGAAGAGGCGTCCTGACCGCACGCGGGACCACAGGACGTGGCCCAGGGCTGGACCTGAACGGTGTTTCTGGTGATTTCGGGGGCCGTTTTTGTTTCGATCTCGTTTTGCGGTATAAAGGCGGGTTCGAGACAAAAGCGAGGGAAAACGAAAACAAAGCGAAAACGAATAACACCGTGTAGGTTCAGCCCTGACGTGCCCCATCTCGAGAACCGCGTCATCGCATTGCCAGGGAGCCTCAGAGCGCACGACCGCGCGATGCCACGAAGCCAGCACGAGGATGCGACCCACAAGCGAATAGCCGCTACGCCCGGCCGCCACCGAGCACGACCAGCGCATGCAGGCAGGAGGAGGACTACGGAGAGGAGGGAGGAGGATGACGAGGAGGAGGACGAGGAGGAGGAGGACGAGGAGGAGGAGGGAGGAGGAGGAGGAGGAGGAGAAGGGGGAGGAGAAGGAAGCAGGGAAAGGTAGGAAGGAGGGAGGAGGAAAAGGAGGAGGAGCAGGGAGAAGTGAAGAGAAGGAGGAGGAGAATGAGGAGGAGGAGGAGGAGGAGCAGAAGGAGGAGGACACAGGTGGTACCGGATCGACGTACGGAAATACGTCAAGCGGGACGCGGCGTCCATGACCAATGCGTTCTTCCTCGTAGAAGGCCTCGGGGTTCCCACTCTTCTTTTCTCCTTTCTACCATGTTTATTCGACTGCTCTCCCCCCAGTTAAGACCCCATAGCGTCTCGATGTATACGTGGAGTCTCATCTGACAAACATGTCTTACGTAAACCTTGCATCATTGCAAGAGAACTCCTCGAATTCATGTACTTACTTAGGAAGATCTTCACCTAATTGGGATCGCGCCGCTTTCATCATCGAGATCTGCACTAGGAGGGGGTGCATCATCACCACCACCACCATCGTTATCACCATCTGCATCCTTCCCCTTCCCCTCGGTCCTCCCTCCTCTTCCTTCTGTTGATCCCTCCCCTTCCTCATTGATACCCTCGTCCTCATCACTCCTCCCACTGCTACCCGTTTCCTCCTCACTCGCCGGCTCCTGATCGTGGAAGGCTTCGGGACTTGGATGCCTCGCCTCGGCTTCAGGGAGCGGGTCGTCCGGAACCCTGGGGGCGGCAGCAGCCTGGTAGTCGACGTCTTGTACGAGATGGACGAGACGTGCTCGCCACCCTCCTTCTCCTCACCCCCCCCTCTTCCTCGCCTCCTCCTTCCTCCTCCCTCCCCCGCCTAGCCTCCTTCTGCTCCTCCTCCTCCGTAACCGTTCTGGCTCAAGAAAGGTGTTCGCTCCTGCGAGCCAGAGCGACTCGGGAGTCCCTCCCAAACTCTTTCATTACGATTTCTCCGTCGCAGCCATGGTGCCGCCGCCGCAATCTCCGCAGCGGCAGTGGGTGCGCGATCCGTGGGTGCAGCAGCTCCATTGGCGCCACCCCTCGTCCAGGAGGTGGCGGCAAATGGAGTTGCTCCCATTGCGGCTGCAAGAAGAACAAAGCGACTTGGGCTCGGTGCGCGAACTGCTGGCAGCCACGAGGCGACCCACGTGTCGGGCCACCCCCGCTTCCAGGCGGTGTCTGGGGCCAGGGGGCTCCGCCACCACCGGGCCAATGGGCGTGGTCGGGGCCCTCTGATTCGCTTCCTCGTGGTCTTGCTCGCGGTGGGGCTCAACCTGTTCGGCCTGGGCCTCTTTTCTACCTCCCTGCGCAGTCAGGGGCGAAGGGACATGGAGACCTCGGCCAATCGGACTCCTCCTCCTCCCCCTCCTCCTCCTCATTCACCTCCTCCTCCTCCTCCTCCTCCTCCTCCTCCTCCTCCTCCGCCTCCTCCTCCTCCTCCTCCTACCCCTCCCCCTCCTCCTCCTCCTTCACCTCCTCCTTCACCTCCTCCTTCACCTCCTCCCCCTCCTCCTCCTCCTCCTCCTCCTCCCCTCCTCCTCCCCATCCTCCTCCTCCTCCTCCTCCTCCTCCTCCTCCTCCTCCTCCTCCTTCACCTCCTTCTCCTCCTCCTCCTTCACCTCCTCCTTCACCTCCTCCTCCTCCTCCTCCTCCTCCTCCTCCTTCTCCTCCTCCTCCCCCTCCTCCTCCTCCTCCCTCCTCCTCCTCCTCCCTCCTCCTCCTCCTCCTCCTCCTCCTCCTCCTCCTCCTCCTCCTCCCCCTCCCCCTCCTCCTCCTCCTCCTGAGGCCACCTGCCCATCCACTGTAACACCGGGCACCGCTCGGACGTGTGCATTTTTTCTCGGCGAGGGCCATCGAGGAGCATCTTTGACCATTTCGCGAAAAATGCACGCGCGAGATCGAAAAATGCACGGGTAGTGGACGTCCGAGCGATGGCGAGGTAGACGACTGCGCTGGCAGGTCGAAGAGGAGGAAGGGGAGGTCTAGTAAGGCCAAAGCCCGGGAACACACATCGAAAGGTTGTTTTGCCAGGCGTTCGAGGCTTCGCCCGACCATGGGGGGCCGTGTTGCGCGGAAGGTTTCTGTTTCCAGCTCCATGGCGCCTAACATTTTCGGTGTTGACGTCCATGGGGCTACGGACCACAAGCTTCGCGACCTCCGCCACCAGGCATGCGCCGTCCTTCAGCCTTCGGCCGAGGGCCGTAGTCTCACTTGTTTGTTGCTGGCTCACCAGGACCCGTGCTGGCTGGCGAGCGTGGCGCCTATCCTTCGGTGGGCCAAGGAAGTCTGGACCTTCGATCTTCATTTGTACCCTAACTCTATTCCTCTCCCGGAGCTCCGTGTTGCTTGGGAGGCCAGATTTTCGGGCGAATCCCCGCTGTGGCGTAACGTGTCTGGGCCTACTTCTGCTCTGCGAAAGTCTTGCCAGAGAATTTCGTGGAGTGTGTCTTCGTTTGCGGTTCTGCTCACGGATCAGGGTCACAGGGTGTCCCTCACTACTTTTTCGCCCTCCTTGGTCAAAATCTTGCTCAACAAGTTGTTTTGAGGGACTTAGAGTAGGATGTTGGGGCCCGTCTTAACCTTTCTAATCGTGTTTGTGCGGATGGCATCCTTCATCCTCTGAATTCTTGTCGGTTCACTCCGTTCCAGAATGGGTGCATTTGTGTTTTGTTCTGCGATGTTGTCTACACTTGCACGCGAGCTGTAAGTCTAGGCTATACGATCGACAACTTGTGCCAGTTGTGCCTCGCCGCGCCTGACACTTTTAAGGCATCGCCTGTGGGAGTGCGAGGCGGTCGAAGAACTCCGTGCCGATCTTGTCAAGCCTCAAGGCCGCAGACTTGCTGCTGCTGCTGCTGCTGATGCCCTGGCTTGCTGCGGGGTCTTCCCGCATTCTGGAGACGATGTCCCTGGGCCTGTTTCGTCTGGGGGCCATCGTGGTGGAGTGGGTTGGGGAAGCTGGAGATCTCAGTGCCGACGTCCACGGAGATATCTTCGCCGGCGGAGCCTGCACGAGACGTGTCTTTATCGGAGCTCCACCGCGATGGCTGGGCCTTCAGTCTTCGGGGCGTCGTGCCACAGGCCTCGAGAAACTCAGGGTTCGGGGTCCAGTCTGGGCCCCTTTCCTCCTCCTCCTCCTCCTCCTCCTCCTCCTCCTCCTCCTCCTCCTCCTCCTCCTCCTCCTCCTCCTCTTCCTCATCCTCCTCCTCCTCCTCCTCCTCCTCCTCCTCCTCCTCCTCCTCCTCCTCCTCCTCCTCCTCCCCCTCCCCCTCGTCCCCAGACGCCCCAGGCGGCCGAGTTGATGCGCACGGCGTCGCTTGTCAGTGGTCAACTGGCCCTAGCGAGCTGCCCCTGGACTGCCAGAAAATTGCATTGTGTTCCGCGCCTAGGCAATTTGATGCCCGGTGCTCTCCCAGGCGTACTTATGCGGAGGGTGCACAAGTTTGTAGGCCGTTTGCACACCAGTGCTCTGTCAGCACAGTGAGGGCTCACCAGGACTTCATCTCTTGCGAAGTTGACCAGGCGCGTTTTTGCTGCGAAGGTAATTGCGCCGTCGACGCCTCAGCCAAGCTCGCCGTGGCCCTGCACCCCATTCCGGATCCAGAGGATGCGGAGAAGATCGATCAGGACGCTTCGGTTGCTAAGGCTGTCGGCGCTTCAGCTGCCAACCTGTTGCAGTCCTGGCCTCGCTTTGATTTGGGTCCGGGTGTGGAGCGCACGCCAGATCCGCCCAAGCCTTGGCATCGCTCGGACGTGTGCATTTTTGCTTTCGGCGAAGACCATCGAGGAGCATCCTTGATCATTTGGCGAAAAAACACGCACGAAACCGAAACAAATATTGGGAATGGACGTCCGAGCGATGGCCTGCAGCCTGAGGCTTTGCGAGCCCTTGGCCGCCGCTGTATTGTAGTCGACTGTTCCGACGTGCCGTTCTCGTGCATGTGCCACAGATGCAGCTACATATGACCTCTGGCGTTCGGCTCGCCACCCATGGCAAGGCGTGTCAGCCACAGAAGGCCGCTACGCACATGAATCCGTGGTCCAAACTCCAACGCGGGCTCCACCCTTCGCCCAAAAAGCCTGAGGTTAAAGTTGACGTGGACACGGTATGTCCGACCTATGCGCTTCAACTGCATGTTGTTGCGCCCCACCCTGTGCCAGGGTGCCAGGTGGAAACCGAGGGCCAGCGCTCCGGGAGGCGCCTTCGTTCTCTTCTGGGGGGGGCCGTCGGTTGCACAGTGCACCCAGCCTTGCTGGACCCAGCGAGGTAGAGCCAGAGTGCCAGGTCGAGCCTGGGGACCAGGCCCAGCTGGGGATCCGCAGGCTAGATGATGAGGAGGATGATGCTGCTCCTTTTCTCGCGGCCTCCGTCGGTTCGGCGGCGCCTGCTGCGAGCCATGGTTCAGACTAGCCTCTGCTCCTGTGCTGCTCTCCCCTGGGGTGGAATCGCCCGCCCCGCAGAGTGTATGTGGGCAGCTTGGTAGCCGTCGACCGCAAACAAATCCTCCTGCTCCTCCTGCTCCTCCTGCTCTTCCCTCCTCCTCGCATGTTCCTCCTGTTCTCGCTTCCGCCGTCTCCCCCGCCTCCTCTTCATCCTACTTCACCTGCTCCCTCCTCCTGGCCCCTCCTCCTCCTCCTCCTCCTCCTCCTCCTCCTCCTCCTCCTCCTCCTCCTCCTCCTCCTCCTCCTCCTCCTCCCCTCCCTCCTCCTCTCCTCCTCCCCTCCTCTCCTCCTCCTCCTCCTCCTCCTCCTCCTCCTCCCTCCTCCTCCTCCTCCCCCCCTGTCTGCTCCGTCTTTTCCCTCCTATCCTGTCCTCCTCTTCGTCCTCCTCGTGACCAGTCGCCTTCCGCCCTCTGCCGGGCCGCCCCCCTCCTCCTCCTCCTCCTCCGCCTCCTCCTCCTCCTCCTCCTCCTCCACCTGCCCCTTGTCTTTCTCCTCCTATTCTGTCCTCCTCTTCGTCCTCCTCGTGACCAGTCGCCGTCCGCCCTCTGCCGGGCCGCCCCCCTCCTCCATCGCCTGGGGGCACCCGAGTGTCTGGACGCCCGAAATGGGCACGGAAAGAATGGGTACAATGCCCAACAGCAGTTCCTGTTCATTTTGAACAGGACTCGCTGTCCACGCCGCCGCGGCCTGTGTCCATTCGAGACAGAGGGCCGCCTGCCCAACAGCGGCCGCTGTTGGTTTGGAACAACATTTGCTGTTGGGCATTGTACCCATTTTTTCGGTACCCATTTCGGGCGTCCAAAGAGTGGGTCCCCATCCCCCAGCGCGCAGGTGGACCTCCAGGCTTTGGGGTTCAAGTCTTGTCCAGCCAGGGCTCAGAAGACGGGGGTCCATGCAAACAAATCAAGGAAAACAAGAGCCAGTCAGAGCGCCGGAACTTGCAGGATCCTGCAGGGCCAGGGTCGCATGGGCCCAGATAAGGTGCAGGATCCTGCAGGACCCTGCAAGGCCCGACTGACCCGGATTTGCACTGGCCCGGGTCAGTAGATCCCCGCCCAGCGTCTCGTTGCCACCACGGCTTGGGTCAATCCCTTGTTGGGACCAGCTCCCAGGGCCCTCGGGGGCCCGGGCGGGTCCCCTGTTCGGACCAGCTCCCAGGGTGCTCTGGCCGAGACAGCGGCACTTGCTCATGGGTGCTCCCTGCCTCCAGGTACATAGGGTGGGACTCCACGAACTTGAGGAGTCTGACCCAGACGAGGTGGGAGGCCTTCTATGTGCAGTACACCAACGTGATCCGCCGCCTGCTGGAGGCCGACGACAAGAAGGGAGCCAAACAGCACAGTCCGAGAGCCAGGTTTGCCAGGGGGTATTTTCCAGGAGATTGATGACGTGAAAGAACATGTCGGGAGAGCAGCCAACTCGAGCAATCACTCTTCCTTCTTCCTTTACTCCTTTTCTCCCACTCCTCCTCCTTTTCCTTCTTCTTCTTCTCCTCCTCCTTCTCGTCCCAGTTATCATTGTCGTCGTCCTCCTCATCCTGGTCCGTCACTTTCTGCTGCTCCTCCTCCTCCTCCGCCTCCTCCTCCTCCTCCTCCTCCTCCTCCTCCTCCTCCTCCTCCTCCTCCTCCTCCTCCTCCTCCTCCTCCTCCTCCTCCTCCTCCTCCTCCTCCTCCTCCCTCCTCCTCCTCCTCCTCCTCCTCCTCCTCCTCCTCCTCCTCCTCCTCCCTCCTCCTCCTCCTCCTCCTCCTCCTCCTCCTCCTCCTCCTCCTCCTCCTCCTCCTCCTCCTCCTCCTCCTCCTCCTCCTCCTCCTCCTCCTCCTCCTCCTCCTCCTCCCCCCCCCTCCCTCCTCCTCCTCCTCCTCCTCCTCCTCCCCCCCTCCTCCTCCTCCCCCTCCTCCTCCTCCTCCTCCTCCTCCTCCTCCTCCTCGTCGTTCTCCTCCCCCATCCCTCATCCTTCTGCAGAACTCCTGTCGCAGCACCAGGCGTGTCCGCAGGCCGGGCTTGGGCGCTTCTGCGGGCCAGGACGGGCGGTCCGGCCAGACGAACAGTTCAAACAGCTACAATTATGTCTGGCCTGTCCCCTACAGGGGGATTTTCGACGAAAAATGAAACATACCCCAAAAATACCCCAAGAAGGCCAAAAAGTATTTTAAAAAATGGTCCCCTGACTATTCTTGGATTTGTTTTGAGTATTGTTGGGGTATTTTTTATTTTTCGTCGAAAATCGCCCTGTAGGGGGACAGGCCCGACTTAAAGCTACAACGATAGAGGTCGGGTCGCTTCCCAGATGCTCAAGCAGTGGCGAAGCTCCCTGGCGTGCCTATAGTCCTGCCAGATACTGCTCTAAGAACCTTGTGTGGTTCCCACGAGATGTTCTCATACCATTTCCGGTTGGCACCGTTTTGTTATATCACATCGGGTTCATGTAATAAGAACATTGTTTCTGTTACTAGAACATGTGTGGGTTCTAAGAACATTTCGTGGTAGGACTATAGGAATGCCGGGACGGTCGGTCCATGCTCAAGATACGGTTCTGGCTTTATCGCCGCTCTGATTCGTTTTCAAATTGGCCCACAGCTACAGGGATGATGGTCTAGTCGCTTTTAGAGAATGCGGCTCTTGCCTTAGCGCCACGCACATCCTTTTTAAAAGCTTCCACCATTTACAAGGATGGAGGGCCGGTCGTCTTCGACATGCTGTTGTCGCTTCAGCACTGTGCACAGTCTCTTTAAACGTTTTCCAACAGCTACAAGCAGGCATAGAGGCCCGCTCGTCTTCAAAATACGGCTCTGGCTTAAGTCTATGACCCGAAGACCCGAGCTGCGCAATAATAGCTCCACGGAGGGAGAGGGCGGCTCCTTCTCAAAGCGGCGTGTTCGCAGGAGACCTCCGCGCATGCCATGGCTCGTTTTTTGTTCGGGATGTGCGCAGCACTTGCACGAACGCGTTGGCTTTTATTATTGTCAGCACGGGGCCACCGATGGGCACTTCCTTGAACGTCCCCGTCGTGCCCCTTGCGCTTCAGCGAAGAGGACGGATATTGGACCCCCTACGAGCCAGGGTCTCGCCTGAGTGGCGGGCCCACTCGCCAGGCAAGGGGGGGGCGCTGCTTGCAGTGCAGGGCAGCAGCTGTAGAGGTTAACGGGCAGGGCAGCAGCTGCAGAGGTGAGCTGCATTGCAGCATCGTTGGCGCTTCCCGGGTTGACTCTGGTCCTCCTCTTCCTTGCCCTTCGCGCCTCCCTGCTCCCTCCTGCTCATCCGTCGTGATCCTCCCTTATTGTCTCCCTCTGCCATCCGTCACCCGCCTCCGCCTCCTCCTCGCCGTCCTCATCAGCCGTCCTCCATCCTTCGTCCTTCTTACCTTTCTCTTCCTCCTTCCCCTCCTCATACGCCTCTCTCATGTTTCGTCCTCCTGCCATCCTCTCTACCAGCCTGTTCTCGTCACATCCATGCGTCCTACATCCCTTCCTCGTTGTCCCCGTCCTCGTCGTCGTCACCTCGCCGTCATCAGACAACTCAGCATATTCCTCCTTCTCCTTCTCCTCGCTGTCGGCATGTTTCATCATTATTAGTTATGTTATTATCATTGTCATCTCATTATTTGTTGTTCCTCTTCATCCTCCTCATCATCATCACCATCAGCACCACCATCATCAGCATCATCAGCATCGTCAGCATTATCATCATCCTCATCCTCATCATCATTACCATCACCACCATCATCATCATCAGCATCATCATCACCAGCAGCATGATCATCCTCCTCATCAGCATTATCGTTTTCCTTTTCCCCGCCCGCTCAGCCTTATCATCCTCTATCCTCCTGGCAAAAGGGGCTCTTAACAAGCAAGCCGCCGCCCAAGCCTAGGGCCGAACTCTGAGCCGACCAGCGCGCGCGACTGGCCCGCGGCCGACATCGAGAACATGGCGGAACAGCAGGATGAGAAATCTGGCCAGGATGAGGACAACGACGAGGAGGAGGAGGACGACGACGATGAGGAAGAGAACGAGAAGGAGGTCGAGGCGGAGGAGGAGGAGGAGGAGCAGGACGACGACGACTAAGAGAATGAGGAGGAGATGGAGTGCGAGAAGGACGAGGATGTGAAGGATGGAAAGGGCATCGTCTGTGGTCGCTAACCAGTACCCCCCCCTCTAACAACCTCCCTCCCTCCTCCCATTGCACGCTGGCAAACGACGACGTGGACGGCAACGATAGCGACGACAGCGGCGATCGACGAACCGACGACAACGACGACGAACATGAAGGCACAACGACGTTGACGACGACTCACGACGAGCGCTGAAGGACGACGCGGCGAGGATGAACACGACGCTTACGATGTCGACGCTGACGCGTACGACGACGACGACGACGACTAGGACGACCTTGGCGTATCAATGAGCCACTTTCACAAATACTTGCCCGCCCTGCCACTTTGACGTCCCGCCCGCCCGACCCGCCCGCGAGGGTCCCGCCCAGCCGGCCAGACATTGTCCCGCCCGCCCGACCCGCTTGCTAGGTTTCCCCCCCTCGAGTGCTTGAAATCCCGCCCGCAAGCTTTGATGTCTCGCCCACCCAACCCGCCCCTGAGGATCCCGCTTGCCCGACCCAGCAGGTAGGGTCCCGCCCGCCCGATCCGCTCGTTTGGATCAGGTCCGCCCGACCCGCCCACGTCGTTCTCATCGTCATCGTGGTCGTCGTCGGTCGTCGTCGTTGCCGTCTTCGATCTGATCGTCGTCGTCGTCGTCGTCGTCGTCGTCGTCGTCGTCGTCGTCGTCGTCGTCGTCGTCGTCATCGTTGTCCGCTTAGTTGTCGTTGTCAGCGTCGCTCCGTCGTCGCCGTCGCCTTCGCCGTTGTCGTCGTGTTCGTCGTCGTTTGCTGGCGCGCATGTGGGTGGGGATCTCGCCGAGGGGGAAGGGTCGGGGGGATGGAACCAGTTATGGAGGAGGAGGAGGAGGCGGGGCTGATTGTTGGGAGAGGGGCGGGGAGGGGGGAGGGGTCCTGGTTTTAGGAAGGAAGTCGGGATATTGCGGAGCACAGCGCCCATCAAAGCCGTTCTGGGAGGATGAGGGCGAAGGGAGACTAGGACAAGAGAGAAGACAAGGAGGAGGAGGAGGAGGAGGACGACGACGACGACAACGAGAAAGAGGACGAAAGAGGAGGAGGACGACGACGACCACGACGACGAGGAGGATGAGGAGATAAAGAGTGGCGAAGAAGACGACAGAGGAGGTCGACGACCATCACGACGACCAGGAGGATGAGGAGATGATCGGCGAGGAGGACGAGGGAAGGTCGATCGGGGCCCTCGCGCTCCCCCTTCCCTGGCCCTCCTCCCCTCGGTTCCCCCCCTCCGTCCCTCCGTCCCTCGGGCACCCGCCCAAGCTCGGGCGGACCGCCACCGGGGCCAGGCGCGCGAGGGCGACATCCGACTCGGGGGGCCCCCTCTCGCTCTCTCTATATCCCTCTCTCTCTCTCTCTTTCTCGCTCTCCCTCTATCCAGAGAGAGAGGCAGAAAGAGGACGCCGCGGCGGCGGACATGGCGAGGGCGTATGGAGGGGGCCGCGCGGCGCAGCCGCAGCGCCGGCAAGGCGGTGCCCGCCGCGCCTGGTACACGAATGGTGCGAGCGTTGAGCGCTGAGATCGCTGCCTGAGGCCGAAACAACGCAGGGCCGCTCTCAGAGGGCCCCTGACCGGCGCCGCCCCGAGGAAGTGGCTCAGCCCGCTGAGGATGCCACGGGCCGCTGCGCCACTCGCCGCGCCGAAGCAGGCTCATGCTCGGGCTCGTGAGCTTCAACGTCGTTCGCCGCTTCGGCCGGCTCAGCATCCTCTGTTTCCGTGATGAGCTCATCCACGTACTGGCCCTGGTTGAGCGACCGACGGGCCCACTTGGAAGGCTCTGATTTTGGCTGGATAGTCACAGCAGGCTCCTCCTCGGTCGTTGCCGTCTCTTCGTCACTGGCGGCTTTGCCCGCTGATTGATGGATTCCTCATCGTGTCGTCTTGGCCCTGACTCAACTCGCGTGGTAATGGATGCCTGACTAATCCTGACAAGAAGGCTATGAACGCCTGCGTGCGAGTCAGGCGCTGCGCATTGTGACACTGCGCGGTTTCATCATCGCCCGCGCGCACATACGCGCGTGTACGCGCGGTTGCGCTCGCTCTCGCGTGCGCAATACAAGAATACATAAATAAAGGCCGCCTTGATTTCGAAAACTGCATGGTGAAAACAAATTGTTTCACTGGTACTCTAAGGTCCTCGACCTAGAATAATGCAATGTGACGCTGCGCAGTTTCCTCATTGACCGCGCGCGCTCTTGCGCGCTCTCTCTCTCTCTCACGTGCGCAATACAAAAGACGATAAACCATAGCCATCGTAATTTTGAAAAGACTGAAAAGTGAGAACTAATTATGCCACTCGTAGTATGAGGGCATCAACTTGACATAATGCATTTTGACACTGCGCAGTTGCGGCCCTCAGAATTCCGACAAGGACCAACCATGAAGTCTCGAAGCTCTTGCAGGCGTTTGCAGCGAATGCGCGCGGCGCTACGACGCGAGCCACGTCTTGAAGACGAGTCGCCCTCCGTCGGCGAAGCTCCTGCAGCAAGGGCGCCCTCGAGGGCGCGAAGTTATTCGCGCTTCGCGCTTCGCGGTTCGGCTCCGATTCCTCCTCTTCCTCCCCTTCTCACCTGGGAGGCGGCGCGAGAGCGCGAAGTTGTTCGCACTTCGCGCTTCGCGCAGCGCGAAGCGCGAAGCTGGGAGCCCTTGTGCAGCATGTGAAGCGAGTGTGCGCGGCGCTGAGGCGAGAGCCACGGTTTGCAAAGGACCAGCCCCCCCTCCGCGAACCCCTTTGCCAAGTTTGCGCCGACTGCGCGCGACGCGGATGCGATCATCACATCTTGAACAAGGGCGCCCTCGAGGGCGCGAAGTTATTCGCGCTTCGCGCTTCGCGGTTCGGCTCCGATTCCTCCTCTTCCTCCCCTTCTCCCCTGGGAGGCGGCGCGAGAGCGCGAAGTTGTTCGCACTTCGCGCTTCGCGCAGCGCGAAGCGCGAAGCTGGGAGCCCTTGTTGAAGAGGACCCGGCCTCCCTCCGTGAAGCTGGCGCAAGTTCTCAAGGCGAATGCGCGCGGCGCGAAGGCGAGAGCCCCATTCTAAAAAGGACGCGTCCTCCACTCGCGAAGCTCTTTCAAACTGTTGACATGAAAGCGCGCGGCGCTAAGGCGATAACCACATTCTGAACAGAGCCCGCCCTGCATCCGCGAAGGTGCTGCATGTTTGTGAAGCGAACGTACGCGGCGCTAGGACGATAATCGCATTCTGAAAAGGACCCGCCCTCCATCCGTGAAGCTCTTGCAAACTTTACGACGAGCGCGCGCGACGCTAAGGCGATCAGCGCCGCCCTCCATCCGCGAAGCTATTGCAAACTTTGAAGACGATTGTGCGCGGATCTATGGCGATTCACACATTCTGAAGAAGGGCCCGCCCTCCATCCGCGAAGCTGTTGCAAGTTTTTTAGACGAATGTGCGCGGCGCTGAGGCGAAAGCCACATCTTCGCTGGAAGGGCGGGGTATCATTTCCAGGGGGCGGAAGTGATACATTTTCGCCGGGCGCACGCACGCGAGCAGTGCTGCATTTGAACGTGCGTGTGGGCAGGAGCCGCGGCCGGGCTCCGTCCCTGCGGTGCTAAAGGCCCGGTTCCGGCAGGGCCGCATGTCGACAGGTCTGGCCCGACTCCTGCAGAAAGGCGTCCTTCGATAATCGCCGGTCTTACCGAAAAGGGAGAAGGCTCCTTAGGAGGCCGCTTCCTAGAAAGCGCCGGTCCTACGTCTACAGAGAGGGCCCGCGGCTTCTAAGAAGCAGGGGTGCTTCTACGAAGCCCCCCCTCTCCCCCTACCCCCCCTCTGCGCGTGGCCGATCGTCGGAGAACTGGGTTTGCATCGGCCCAGCGGCCCATCGGTCCGCGCGCTCCCACGAACAGGTGGCCCTCGGCGGCTGCCGCGGGGTGCGCGAGGCCCGGTTCCAGCAGGGCCGCATGTCGGCAGGCCTGGCCCGACTCCTGCAGAAAGGCGTCCTCCTCCTCCTCCTCCTCCTCCTCCTCCTCCTCCTCCTCCTCCTCCTCCTCCCCCTCCTCCTCCTCCTCCTCCTCCTCCTCCTCCTCCTCCTCTTCCTCCTCCTTCTTCTCCTCCTCCTCCTCCTCCTCCTCCTCCTCGTCCTCCTCATTCTCCTCCCACTCCCCCCAGGTTCAAGTAATTCTGTCGGGGCCCATCCTGATTGCGGGATGTGATCTGCCCAGCTGCGCCGTCGGTGCTGACCTGGGGACCTCTTGCAGTGTCCCTGTGATCTCCTCCTCCCCATCCTTTGGGCCGGGAGGCCGCCGGTCCACGCTTGGATTGCCGCAGGGGGATAGTTGTGCCCGTGTCCGACGTGTGCCGTCCACGCGACCGGGACTGCCATATCTCTTGTTTCTCTTGGTGCACTCCTCCTCCTCCTCCTCCTCCTCCTCCTCCTTTTCCTGCTCCTCCTCCTCCTCTTCCTCCTCCTCATCGTCTCTGCACTACAGCGTCGCCGCCTTGCACGCGCCCGCCAGCGAAGGCGGCTGGGTGTGGCCATCAGAGGCTTGCTTTCTCTTCTGTCTGGGTCAGCGGCTGCTGCTCGCAGGCCTGATGGCGTTTCATCTGAAGTCGGGATGAAGGCTGGCCTGCACTCGAGGACTCTTCCCCCTGAGTAGGATGTCCGACGCGAGAACCCAGACATCCGGCTGCTCAAACTCCCAGCCATCCTGTGGCGTTGGCTGCTCGTTTTGAGGAGGGAGCGCCCCTTGTCCTATAACTCTCCTCCTCTCCTCTCCTCTCTTCCTCCCCCTCCTCCCTCCCCCCTCTCCTCTCCTTTCTTCCCCTTCTCCTTTCTTCCTCCTCCTCTCCTCTCCTCTCTTCCTCCCCCTCCTCCCTCCTCCATCGTCCCCCCTATCGATTTCGGCACACCCCGCACGCGTCTCGTGGTCCCATAGAGAGCTCCGCCGAAGACCCCAGTGGCAGGGTGCGCACGTTTCGTTGTCCCATAGGGAGCTCTGCCGAAGGCCCCAGGGGCAGGGTTCGCATGGCACACACCCCTCACACGGTTCATGGCCCCATAGGGAGTCCCGCCGAAGGCCCCAGTGGCAGGGTTCGCATGGCACCGTCGCCTCCATCTCCGTGGCCCCATAGGGAGCTCCGCCGAAGGCCACGCCCCAGTGGCAGCCGCCGCCCCGCTTTCCACACACCCCTCACACGCTTCGTGGCCCCATAGGGAGCTCCGCCGAAGGCCCCAGTGGCAAGGTTCGCATGGCACCGCCGCCTCCATGTCGCACACCCCTCACACGTTTCGTGGCCCCATGGGGAGCTCCGCCAAAGGCCCCAGTGACAGGGTTCGCATGGCACCGCCGCCTCCATTTCGGCACACCCCTCACACGTTTCGTGGCCCCATAGGCAGCTCCACCGAGGGCGATGCTCGCAACGGCGGTATTCACAACTGCATATGGCCAGGTCCTGCTCCAGGAAAAGTTGCTCGATGCGTGGGCCCTGAGAGTATGGACCACCTCCCCAGGGCCCGTTTTCCGCCCTGAGTCCTTCTTTGACGGCCCCGAGGCCAGACGAGGGCTCCCGGAGGCCGAACACGGCCAAACGCCGACCGCTCCAACTTCTTTCCGGAGCGTCCGGACCTCCGGCGGCCCCGCGCGCCGCCGACGCGGGCCGCGGGCGCCACCGCTGCGCCCCCGCAGCGGGCGCGGCGCTGGGGCGTGGCCGTGGCCGTGGCCGTGGCCGTGGCCGTGGCCGTGGCCGTGGCCGTGGCCGTGGCCGTCAGCGCCGGCGCGCCGCGGCGGGGGCGCGCAGGGGCAGCGCCCAGCCGCGGCCGCGCCGCGCCGCGCGGTGCCGCGCCCGCGGCCGCCCGCGCCTGCCGCGGCGAGGCCGGCGGCGCGGGGGCGGTGGGCCCCTCGGCGCCGGGCCGTGCCAGGGCGGCGGCGGAGCGCGGCGGGGGCGGGGGCGCTGGCGGAGTGGAGCGGGGCGCGGAGCGCAGCTGCGCAGGCGCGGGCGGCCGCGGGGGGGGGGGGGGGGGCCCTCGGGGGCGTCGGCGGGCGCAGGGTGTGGGAGGGGAGAGGAGGGAGGAGGGAGGGAGGGGGGGGTGGAGAGAGGGGGAAGGAAGGAGGAGGAGAGAGGAGGGAAGGAGGAGGGAGGAGGAGAAGGAGGGGGGAGGAGGAGGGGGGGGAGGAGGGGAGGGAGGAGGAGGAGGAGGAGGAGGAGGAGGAGGAGGAGGAGGAGGAGGAGGAGGAGGAGGAGGAGGAGAAGGACGCTTGACGAACCCAGGTGCCATCAAGATCCAAGGTCCAAGGAGGAGGGAGGGAGGAGGAGAAGGACGCTCGACGAACCCAGGTGCCATCAAGATCCAAGGTCCAAGGAGGAGGGAGGGAGGAGGAGGAGGAGGAGGAAGATCGGGCACGCCGTGACATGGATCGGGGAAGATCCCCCGAAGCATGAGGCCAGTGCTGCCTGATTTGGTGACGGAGCGCGCCGATTCTGTGCGGAAGCGGCGCCCGTCGCTGATCCAGGCGTCGGCAATCCATGTTTGCGTTTCCTTTGGAAGAGGAGGAAGAGGAGCAGGAGCAGAGGGGAGGAGCAGGATTATGTCGGGCCTGTCCCTCTACAGGAAGATTTTCGACGAAAAATAACAAAAATACCTGACAAATCTGGCCTCAGGCCAGCGACAGGGTCCCCTTAGGTGAAAAACTTATCGTCCTCATCAGGACCAGCTGAGACACGCTCTCGGAAGGAATGCCCGAGCTGCCGAGCCTCATCCTCACCAAAACCGAACCACTGGCGGCAATCTGAGCGGCACAGGTTGGAACCACACGAAAAAAACATTACCCTTGGCCCCTCTGAGCCTGCCTGGTCAGTGCGCTTGGGGCCTCGGGCAGCCCTCACGGAAGCGAGAACCAAAAGGCTCCAGCGCCAGAGCCCAAGGGGACCTGGGAGGGCCCAACCCAACAGCTTTGTTAGGATGCTTGGCGATGAGGAGCCTCGAGGAAAAAGAGGAGGAGGCGGAGGAGGAGGAGGAGGAGGAGGAGAGGGAGGAGGAGGAGGCGGAGGAGGACCCCCCCCCTCCCGAGGCGCGGAAGCGTCTCGTCCCCGCGCCGCAGCCGCCACCAGCGGATGAGGGAATCGCGGCGCTGCTGCCTAGGATGAAGCGCATGCGGTTGCGGCCGTCGCTGGGGCAGCTGAGGCTCCAGCGGGAGGCCGACTCCGCCGAGACGCGCTCCCTGCAGGCGCAGGCCATCACCGGGCGTCCGGGGGGTAGAGGGAGGAACGCGGAGGAGGGGGAGGGGGAGGATGATGAGGAAGATGAGGACGAGGAGGAGGAGCAACAGCAGGAGAAGGAGGAGGTCTGATGCGTCGAGCCTTTGCTTCCGCAGCTAATCTAGGGGAGAAACGCGGAGGACGGGGGAGGAGGACGAGGAGGAGGAGGAGGAGGAGGAGCAGGAGGAGCAGGAGGAGCAGGAGGAGCAGGAGGAGCACAATGCCTGCACACTCAACATGTTATTTGCCTTTGCTGGGGCAGGGGGAGGGGGGACAGGCTGAGAAGGGAGGAGGAGGAGGAGGAAGACGCGGAGCAATTGGAATAGGAGGGCGCGGATGAAGACGAGACCGAAGAGGAAGAGAAGAAGCTTCCAGTCCACCCAGGAAATCTATGGATCCAGCGCGCCGTGGTATGTGGTATGTGCCAGTGTATAGCTGACGTCCTCGATTGGGAGAGGCGAGTGGTGAGGGGCGCGGGGGAAGAGCAACAACAGGGGGAGGTGGACGGAAGAATCGCAGGATAAGTAGGAGTTCCCAGGGGGAGGAGGAGGAGGAGGAGGAGGAGAGGAGGAGGAGGAGGAGGAGGAAGGAGGAAGAGGAGGAGGAGGAAGAGGAGGAGAGGAGGAGCAGGAGGAGGCCGAGGGAGACAGGAGGGACGAGGAGCAGGACGACGAGGAGCAGGACGAGGAGGAGGGGGAGGGAAAGGACGAGGATATGGAGGTAGGATATGGAGGAAGGAGGAGGAGGGAGGGAGGGGAGGGAGGAGGAGGAGGAGGATCGGAGGAGGAGGAAGAGGAGGAGGAGGGGGGGGAGGAGGAGAACAGGAGGACTTGAGTAACATGGTTTCAGGGCGCCTTGACCCCGATAGTGGGCCCAGTTCCCCCGCCACCGCCAGGAGGAGTAGAGGAGACGGAGGAGAGGAGGGAGGAGGAGGAGGAGGAGGAGGAGGGGATGAGGAGGGGAGGAGGAGGAGGAGGAGGAGGAGGAGGAGGTCAGGAGGAGGAGGAGAGAGGAGAGAGGAAAGGAGGAGGAGGAGCAGCAGGAAGACGAGGAGGAAGAGGAGGAGGAGGAGGAGGAGGAGGAGGAGGACGAGGAGGAGGACGAGGAGGACGAGGAGGACGAGCAGCAGCCGAAGGAACCAGGCCGCCAGTGCCCGCCCCAGGTCTGCTTGACCCTGCACCCCGAGCAGCTGCGGGCCACCGTCCACCTAGACGGCTGGGACGGCGCGCCGCGCGGCAGCGCGGTGCCCGGGCCGGCGCGGGGGGAACCGGGTGGTTTGGGGGTTGCCGTCGTCGCCGTCCTCGTCCTCGTCCTCGTCCTGCTCCTTCTTCTTCTCCTCCTTCTCCTCCTCCGTCGGAAAGATGAGATCCAGACTCTTGCGATTTCGGAAGGTAAGGAGAGCTGGGCCCTTGCGCAGCAGATTTGCAAGGCAGGCTGTTTCGGCAGCCTTCAGCTACGGGGGTGTTACTGGGCACCGCCAGCCCTGGTCGCAACCATGAGAAGTTAGATATGCAGTACTTGAGCCTGGCAAGCACGGTTCAGCTTGGATCATCCCCCCCTGCACGGCAACTCTTCTCTGGATCTTTAAATCTCAGCATGGGCAAACCCGTTGCTTCAGTGGGCCTTGATGTGGTGGGACGCTGGGTTGCATGAGTTGTTGTAGGCGGCGTGGCAAAGACAGACTCTGGCACTATATCAAGAAGAAACCCTGGGGCAAAGTGGCAGGACCAACAGGAGCCATTTTCCCCGCATTGGGGGATTTGAGCTGGCAGTCTTCCTCGGCCTAGTTTGTGGAGAGCAGATCGTGGAGAGTCTCTCGACTAACATAACGTTTCTCCCGCTGCCTTGCGCGACCTGACGATGGAGAGTGCGGAAAGACGTATGTGGGAATGTTGGTCCAAGAAACTTGGTCGCGATCGCGGTACGGAGATGGACCAGAAGAATGCATCTTGATAGTGTATCGAATCAGTCGTCGGCAACATCAGCAAAACCTGGGAGAAAGAGGATAACGAGCGGACGTACCGACTCACCAAACCGCAGGCTGCGAGTTCGAGGGCTCTCGAAACTGGCGGACTCTGGTTCACCGTCGAGAAAGAGACTTTGCTAATCTGCTGTTCGTGCCAGGTGTCACGCGCGCAGTTGTGAACATGCTAACCGTATTCCGCATTCCCTTGGTCTGTGATTCCAGAGACGAAGGCAGGATACAGGTGTTTGCTGACGAGGAGAGGCAGACGCGCCTACCTGAAGGATCACCATTGTTGTGGTTTTGTGCCCAAGGTCTCCTTTCAAGGGATGCGTTGCCAGACGTCCCACCCTGGAAAAACACGCACGTGTGGAACGTCATGTATGGTGATGTTTCGTATACGACTGGGGATGTATTCAGCGACGGAGCATGTCAGAAGTTCGCGCGTTGGAAAGAGGCCGCTCGGGCTGGACGGGGATGCGTGCTGATCTCCGATTCCGACAGACCGCTGGTGGTATACAGGCCGCTCCCAGGAACAGCCCAGACATCACCGAGACCAGGGCAGGTCGCGGCCCTTGTAGATTCTCATGCTTGCAGTGTTGCCCATGCGTACACACACGGACCGTCAGGATTTGCAAAACGGTTTGCAGCGAGGCTCTGCATGGGCCACGCATCATCGTAGGCCGAACGTTGACCTGGGGCGTGGGATGTGGGATGCGGCACAGGATTGAGGGCCTCGGCGGGCCCCCCAGAGGATGCCCCATGTGTCCGCGCCAATGGACACCAGAAGTACATGCCAAGGGCACTCTGCTAGAGGCGATCGCTGGGCCTATTTCGGAGCCTGTCTTGGACGGGGCGCGCGCGCGCGGCCCCGGGGAAGGCTGCGCCCAGGGCCCCGCGGCGCGTTGGGGGCGCCCGCGAGGCCCTGGCCCGGCCCGCGAAGGCCCGCGCAACACATATAAATGAGAATGTCGTGCCGGGCGCAGCTGGGTTTCTTGAGCGGAGGAGGGCCCGGCTCGAGGAGATGGCTGCCCCGCCAGCGGGCCTCGCGTTGGCGCGCGCATTCTTTCTTCTTGGGCCCGTTCGAGGCGCAGAGCTTTCGCCGGGTGCGCCAGTGGGCGGCGCAAGACATTCGCGAAGCGGCCGCGCCCGGCGAAGATTATTGCGCGCGCTCGAAGTCAGCGCGCCTCCCGAGATGGAAGAGTCGGCCAAAAGGTCGCCCCCAAATTCAGTTCCCGCATCTCGCGAAACACGCTGATGCCCAGACTAGGAGGGCGGAAGGTCGTCCGTCGGAGCCGCCCTCTCGCGGGATGGAGAGGGGGCCGACCTGCTCGCCGCCCCGTCGAGCAGTGGGGCGCAGCCTGCGCGCAGCCTCTCGCCATCCACAGTTTTGCGCAACGTGCGCGCCAGAATTGATGGGGCTCGACGTCGCTCGCGTTCGCCCCAGCTCGCTCGGGGGGGCCAGGCGGGAGCTTGGGCCAGGGCGGGCGAGACAGCGTCAGTTGTTGAGTTTGTTCCCCGCGGGGCGGCCGCCCTGCGCGCGGCCGTCGACGGCGCGGCGCAGGCCCGGCCCCGCGCCCCCGCCGCCGCCGCTGCCTCCCCCCCCTCGCCCCCCCCCACCCCGCCCACCCACCCACCGCGCCACATCGCGCGGGGGGGGGGGGGGGGGGGCGGCGGGCGACGGCCACGGGCGGGGGCACCCCGCCGAGCCCGGGCGCCGCGGAGGCGCTCGAGGAGGCGCGGTGCCAGCGAGAGCGCAGCTCGACGCGCTGCGGGATGGACAGGTCGGGCCAGCGGACGTCAGAGGGCACGAGATTCGACCCTTTTGGGGGCCGTTATCATTCGCTTGCTTTGCGGGGTGATCTCGACGGGGAAGGGCCCGTCCCCGGGGGGGGGATGCCACCCGCCTGCGTCCAGCACGCGCGCCGCTTCGCATTTCCATCGGTCCCTGACCAATCGCCGCCCGGCGCATCAGCGCAGGCGCGAGGGTCTCTCGGGCTGGCGAAGGCTCGGGGTCACTGGCCCGGTCTGCGCGACCTGCAGCCCGATTACCTTGTCTAGTTGTTCTGTTTTACCTTGCGCGACTGACTTGTCTTCGAGAGTTCGCGCTGGCGCCGCCGCGATCTTTCTTCTAGCGGGCGCCCGGGCCGGGCCGTTTGCGCTCGGCGCGACGGGCCCCTCCAGGGCGCGCCCCCCCCCCCCCCCCCCGCGGAGTCGCCCGGGGCGCCCCCCCCCACCCCCCCCCCCGCCCGCATGCTTTCCCCCCTCTAGTGCTCCGCCATGGCGCGGGCGGGCCGCGGGGGAAACGGGCCCCGAGGTCTTTCGCCGCCCTCGGTTTCCCGGTGCCTTCCGCGGGCCCCCCGGGGCCGTCAGAGAACGGCCCGGGGCGGCGCGCTGGTTTCGGGGGATAGGCCGAGGGCCCAGGGCAAGTTTTCGTCGCGGCCCGTTTTCCGCCACGCTAAGAATCCTCTCCCAGCGCCCCTTCCCCCCTGGAGGTCGACCCTGGCCATTCCTCGAGCTGGGCCTCCGCCTCGGGCCCCCTCTTCGGCGGGGGCGCCCAGGCCAGCGCCGCTCGTGTCTTCGCGCCTCGCGCGCCCCCGCCGGCCCGCGCAGAAACGCGCCGCCCACGGAAGCGCGCGGAAAGCGGAGAGCAGAGTCGCGCGCAGCGAAACAAAGCGGGCAACCAGAGCGAACGGGCAGATTTCCGGGAGGAGCACGCGGGCCGCCTCGGAGGGCCCCTTCGGGCCCGCGCGGGGGCTGGGGGGGAGGAAGAAGACGGCGCAGCCGACGGGCAGCCGAAACGTCCGACCAGCAACCTGCGCGCGCTATTGCGCGATAACTTCTTGTCACGCTTATGCACCAGACGGTTCGCGCTATTCGCGCAGGCGGGGCAGGCCCAAACAAGCGCGAGGGCGCCGACCGAGGAGAAGGCGAACCCGGAACGATGGGCTGCGCAACAAAATTCGCGCGCCTTTGCGCGTCCGCCCGCTGTCCGTGACCAGCCACTTGTACGTCGTGGGCCTGGTGCCACGGCTGCGCCGCTGCGCTCGCGGGCACACCGCGGCGCGCGGCCGCGCGTCGGAATCCTCCTCTCGCACCACTGTCGCGGGACGCAGCGCCCCCCCAACCCCCGCGGCGCTTATATGAGCGGGTTGCCCAGCCGTCGCGCGGGCGGCGCCGGGCGCCCAGGAGCGGCCCCGTCCTTCGTCGTGATCTCCCTCTCCTTGTCGGTGGCGCCTCTCCTGCGGCATCCGCGCCGGGCGCGGGGCTTCTGCGCTGCCCCCTCCTCGCCCGTTGCGCCGCGGGCCACTCCGCCGCCCAGGTTCGTCTGCTTCTTGCGATGCTCGGCGGGCCGGGGGTCGCTTCCGCCAGTGGCTGACGGCGACGAGGAGGCCGCCGCCGATGCGTCCTTGGGGACTCGCCGTCCGCCCCGCGGCGCCGTCAGCTCCATCGCCGCGCCCTCGCCCGCCGTGAAGCCCGCGTAGCGCGCTTCCGCTGGCGAAGGAGAGGTCCGGCTGGGATCTGGCTTCGCTGCATCTCGCCCGCGGCGCCGCTGGCCGGCCAGTGAGGCGGCGCGGGCGCGGGCGGCGCGGCGGGCTCGGGAGGCGAGGGCCCGCGACCGCCAGCGACGCGCCCTCTGCGTCGGGGGCCAGACCGCGCTGCGCCAGCCCAAGATGGATAAGCTTGAGCTGGCGTCTGCTCCTGCCCGTGTTTTGGAGCCTGAGGCCCAGGAGTGGCGCCTCTGACTGGGTTGCGAAGGCGCGGGGGCAGAGATCGCGGAGAGCCCAGCTGGGCACTTGGAATTCGCGGCCCTCTGCCGCCATGAACCCGCGATGGCCCTGGAGAAGACTTTCTGCCTGCGCAAGATTGCCCGCGAGTCGGTGATCCTAGCGCTGCAGGAGACGCGTGGGTCAATGTACCGTGTCACCGACATCCCCCATATATGTGAACTTCAGCAGCGTTGCGCCAGAGCCTCATTTCGTCCTGGCGATCGCGAAGATTCAGGAGGGGTGGCCACTATTTTTCCGAAGCCGCACCCAGGCTACGTCGTAGACTTCCCTGACTCTGAAGTGGTTCCTGGCCGGGTTCGTCGAGTTCGTGCCACAGTTTTTGCCGCGTCGGGTCACGCCTACTATCTGGCCTCATCGACGACGACCAGCCCATCGACCCAGAGGCTATCAGGAACGACGCCGCCCACCTCGTCCTTTCCCCAATCGCCGAGTTTTGCGACCGCGAGGGCTACGCGCAGCACCTGGACTTCCTCGTCTCCACGAGTCGGA